CACTTTAAATAAGTACACTTTAATTTACTTCGATTTGTTTACGTTTCGTATTTCTGTATTTTTTACGCAATGGATTTTGTGGTTAATGACGTCGGAAATACAAAAATAAATACGTTAGACTATAAACAATTTGGAAATGACCCCATCACAACCGTTTTGGGCGAAAGTGAAATGCAATGAATGATGAATTTCAATTTTAACTGCGGCTAATTTGGACAATAAAGGTTGGACATTACTAAATCAAACGTAACTGCTTTGGGACGCTTTTTTATGACGTGGTTGTAAAATAAAACCTCGGGGAGTTCCATTTGCGGAGTATCCTACTTTTTGGGATATGTTGAAAGTGTTAGTAATGCGGAAGTTGATATTAAAATTGACGTTGAAAATAATAAATTGATTAAATTTCTGACCTTAAAAATGTTTTTCATTTTTGTTTATACTTTGCGTTGTTTATGTTTGCGGTTTTTCTATTTCTGGTGAAATTGATGTGTGGCTTATGACGTCAGAATAAACGAAATAATTGATTATACGTGGGAAATCTATAAACTATTTGGGAAAGCTAATTGCACTTATGAATTTCAAATTGATTTTCCGTTTAAGATAAACTGTGGTTTTATTAGACATTTTTTAGTATAAATCGTTTTGTTTAACCACTATTAGACGCCTATTATGACATGATAACAATTATTTATTGGTCGTAAAATTGTTTGTGGCTAGGCCTAAAAAAGCCAAGAGGAATTTCGAGATGACTGATTGTTTATATTATAGGAGAATAGATATATTACTTTTCAAAACTAACCTAGTACTAAAAACGGACTAGAAAATACATAAATCAATTTGTTTACTCTTTAGAATTTATAATCCTCCCATTAAATTAAGCAGATTTAAATGTTTGCCCAAACGATAATTTCATAATATTCAAATGGCGATCTCTGGCACGCACATTATAGCGATTATATCGACTGACCAACCGAATGACCAACCGGAAGTTGGCTTTTATATCTCTCTCCGTCGCTTTGTGATTTTGCATTCGCGCACATCATTTAAGTTATTCGTGGAATGGAAACTGGAAGAGGTGGGAGTGCCGACGAGAGGTACGGGGGCCTATCTAATGACTGCTCATTCCGATTCTGTGATTATTCTGATTGCCGCTGGCCGTCCGTCTGTCTGTCGCCCTCCGGTGTAGAACTCTCATTAAATACTTAAAAGTGCATATATTTATTCATACGACGCCAAATCAGTTTTTTTCTATGTGGAGCACCCATTTAAATGGGTCGCTTGTATATCCATTTTGGAGTAGTGCTTCTCCCCTTTGTGAGTGAAAGCAGCTGTGACTGAGTTCGGGGGAAAAATGGCTTCCAAATGGGGGAAAATGACAAATAATCATATTATTAGGATTGGGAAATTTTGAGTTGTTTTAGATCAACAAGAGAAATACAACTTATAAGCTTATATTTAGGCAAAAATGTTGTTATTATAGTTTTTATTAATTTAAAGTAAAGTTTTAAAGATCAATTTAATTTTTTTTAAATTTAAAAAATTTTGAAAGTAGTCAAATAACGTGTAAACATGAATCCCAAAGGGTTTGATAACACAATTTTAAAACATTTTGGTGACTCAATTTTTTTTTTTTGGATATTTGTACAAATGTCAAATTATAAAAAAAATGATAACATAATGACTCAATTGTCGACAAACTATTAAACTGCTAAGAGTGTTTTTGACTCAGGGTATACGGGACATACATATAACATGTCAAACATTATATAAAAATCCAAACCGCAAAAAACACAGCTGATATTGAGTACTTGGCACTTGTTTTACATAGAGGTTCAGGAATCCAAGGTTGTGTATTGGGTTACTTCATGTGTTTGACATATGTTTGACTATGACGATAGCAAGCAATATGAAATAGTTATCTCGTCGGCTGTCAGCGGTATGGAAAACCACACGATTTATGGCTTAATTCATATAAATTTCATCAAATTTCAATGGCCTGGCCCACAAACCCAATAAACTTTTATCTGTGCAGCACCCACGATGTCGCTTGTTGATATACTCGAATAGAATGTTTATTGTTGGTTCTCTCATTCTTCAGGTGTGTGCGTAAGCATCATTATTATGATTATTGTTGTTGCACTAAAATGAGGGGGCTTTTATTATTATTATTATTTGCGGCCCTTTGTTGACCTTGTTGTTGCTTGTTTATTACGGACACACAATGGGCGCCTTTAATTCCATATCTAGTCTGGGCCAATATTTGACAAAAGCGTCACTAACAAAGTGTTGATAAATCAGATAGAAAAGAAAAGCCTATTACCACTGGAGAAAATTCGTACAAAGATTTCTCTAAATGAAAAGCGGCATTTGTTGATGATATTTAAGACCAAGTTTATTTTAAAACTGCTTACAAACAAATATTTCAAAAGGCAACTATTTCTAAAAATATATTTTTTTAATTTGTAACAATTTTTAAAATGGAAATGAAAATATCTTTTATTTCCTGTCGAAATTTAAATCGAAATAAATTCAAAAATGCGTCTACAAAGTTACTTCAATCCTTGACATAACTTAAAGAAACAAGAAATGCCAGTCGCAAAAAGAAAAAACTTTGATTTTTCCTCTTTGCAATTTTCTTTCTATTTATAGCAACCGACTTGAAGGAAGAAGCACAAAATAACCCAAACAGAACTGAAGTTTTTGCCATTTTGCCAGCTTTTGGCGCCTGGCCAACTATTTTTGTTTGGCAAGAGGTAAAGGGGGAATCACCTACTCCACAACCAGTTTGTTTGCCTTGACAACCAGTTGTTCCAACCCAAAAGCCACCCACTCAATTTGGGGGAAAAAAAGACCGCGCACAGTCGAATAAAAACTGCAATGAAAATAAAATGCAACCCGCAAATTAAGCGCATTTTAAATACCTCTGGTTGGTTCTAGAAAAATATAGAAGAGGGACGGGATACGTTGCACCAAAACCAAAGGGTTAAATGCCCGACGAGGTCGTCTTTGTTGCTTTCGGTCCCATTTAAGTGGGTCAACAGAAAGGAAATGAGCTCATTGGTATACATTTTCCAGTTCATTTGCGTTGATTAAAGCTTTTCGGCCTGACATTTGTTTGTCTGCCGCCCCTTATTTTCCCCCTTTCCTTTTTTCCGCTTTTGCTGTCTTTTAGCGTCTGAAACCCAATTAATAATTTGCACACACCAATGAGGAATAGAATTTGTCGCTAAAAGGTCAGATGCACAATAAAAAATATTAAATTATAGATTGTTTCTAACTATTAATTTCAAAGAAAAACAGTTTTTTGAATGTAATATCATAGTTGTATTATTTATGTAAGTATTTCTTTGCCTTAAAAGTGCTCAAAAATCTTTTCATCATGCTAACAGTCATTACACATCCCCCAGAATTAGGTTCTGTACATCTTTCAAGACAAATTTTACAAAAACAAAAAATATTATAGATTTTTATTTTATTTGTTATGAGCAATTTATTTTTTATATCTCTGAAAATAAATATTTTTTTATTTATGTAAGCAAACAGTATTATTAAATAAAATTGTTTAAATTACTTATATTTTGAACAAAAAATATTCTTTCCTATTTTCTTTTTAAACCAACTATTTTATAAAGTTTATAAAAGATATGTTAATGCAATTAATTTTTATAGAGTTCTGAAAAACAAAAACTACGACGACACAAAAAATATTAGTTTTCATTTTCTTATCAATATGAACTTACACGACTTCTTTTTATAAAAGTAAAATTATGCTAATCAGTTTTTTTGATACGTTCAGTATCAAGTTATTTTTGATAAGAGAAAAATTACAAAATCCATCATAGAAATTTGTTTTCTGTGTGAGTAACGAAGAATGGGGTGACTAATTCCTCCCGAAGAGAGGCGGAGAAATATCAGAGTGTGAAGAGCAACGGCAAAAGTTGGTTAATGACGTCAGTGAAGCGACGATAATGAAAGAAGTTCGCTCACCGGATCGGATCATGTGGGCACGTGCGTGAGTCAGACCATTAAAGAGACCCATGGAGAGATATTGGAAGAAGAGCCAAAGTTTATACTGAAGCCACTTGAAGATGCGGCAAACTTTATAGCTCTTTTTCAGGGCTGTTAATCTTATCAGCTACAGGGAGTACCTAAACTATTTAAAGCCCATTATTTTTATTTGTTAACTAGAAGTGATTGATTTTTAAATACTTGTAAGCAAATATTTATTTAATAAATGGATCTGAAAAGTCTTCTCAATACAAATGTGTTTAAAATTCGCATTTAAGTGGTTTTCAAAATATTTACGTTTGTTTTGCTAATTTTATAAGTCATACTTTTTGAAAAGCAAGCTGCGGTTATAAAATGTTTACATTCTTGCTGTCCGTGTTTATTATGAGCAAATTGGGTATAATTAGGTCAATGTAAATATTTAATATTTTCGTTTTTCAAAACTTCTCAATTAAGAAAATGTCTATCGTGTAAACCCCCAAGCGGTTAGATGTATTCCACCGAAAGAGAGTAAAAACTGACAGCAAGATAACGCTCCGAAAGTCTCCATTCTCACCCTGCCAAAGGTTAAATACTCAATTTGTTGCTCGTTTATTATTGCCTTTTTTGTTGCTGTCGATTTCCCGGCGATTGTTGTTATTTTTAGCAAGTTGTTGAAATTATCAGTTTTATACTTTCCTGGCTGTTAAAACGCCTAAAGAGAATTAAACAGCTTTGAAGAGATTCACAAAATATAAACAATGGTGGTTTTAAAAGAATTCATTAAATCTTAAATTTTAGGCACTTCAAAAACTGTACTTCCTTAAATCGATTCTAATAAATTTTCTTATTACCTTGTGGCTAGACAAATATTTTGTAAAAATCTTTGAATAATGTTTTTCTAAACGACTCTGTAAATTATATAGAAATCATTAAGCAAATGCCTAATAACCGGTTGCAGGGGTTGCGGATAAACCCAAAGCTAGTGACGCATATGGCCAGTCGAGACTCACCCGATAAATCTGAATCTCCTCGAGAACCACCTCCGATTCCCTAAGAACTCGCTCCACCTCGTCGTAGACCTCTCGCTCCGTTTCCGTGGGCGCGGCATTCTCGAAGTCCAGGAAGACATCGTAGGATTTGGCGGCGCAACAATTCGAGTCGTCGCGTGACAGCAGGCTCAGCAGCTTTCCCATTTTCTTTGATTAACTAATACTTGTTGTGTTGTGGATTGGTATTTGTTTTCCTTTTTTTTTTTGTTATTAATTAGCACTTTTGGTTTTCGTTTTTTTTGGAGCACTGCGAGGGAAGGGGAATACAGAAAAGAATATATGTATGAGCAGCTGTTGCACCTGTTGTCACAAAAGGGCTTAATAAATTTTCTGGTTCACCAAAAACCAGCTGCAAAAGTTGATAGGGATAGTTCGAGGAGGTCGATGGTGGGGGAAGCTGCATTCAAGAACTTGTTTCATCTTTCGGAGGACAATGGAAATCGGCAATCTCAAGGGTGGGAAAAGCGATGAAAACGAAAACCTGGTCTTTCAGCCTTTTCAGCCCCCATCAGAGAAGGAAAAATAACACAGATGGTATTGTTTAAAGAAAATTTTTGTATTGCAGACCGACTTTAAAAAAATATTTATAAAATCAAACTTTTTTATGTAGGTTTGACATTTTTGATTGTAAATAAAAATTTTTAAAGATATCTTTATTTAAAAAAATATTAATTTAAGATATTTTTCAAGTAGTGGCGTTTTCTTCATTATTAAAAAGTTCCGAAATATTAAAAGACCACATTTATTAAAAATGTTTGAAATTATTAGAAATCCTAGCAAAATTTTTGCTTTACATTTTTTTACAGAATTTACATTTTTTTTACAAAATATAACAAGGAACATTTTCCAATTTCCACGCTTGATTCTCGCTTATACAATGTTTACTGTTTTATTTTCGACCTCTGAAATTGCACTGCGGGGGGTGAAGAGGAGAGCAAAGGAGAGAGGAAGATTGAAAGGAGAAGAAAATAGTCTCTCTCTTTCCCACGCAACGTGTGTTTGTGTGTGTTTCGCAGGAAACGCTGCGAAATCGAAACAAATCGAAATTGGTAAACAAAAAAAACGGAAAAACGGCAAGGCCAATTTTCACACATCGTGCTAAGTAGGAAAAGGCCATTTTCCTGCTCAGGCAGCACATGTAAACACACATATTGCGAAAAAAAATGAGCAACAAAAACGGTCATGTTTTTATTGAAGAATTCTGGCCATGTGTGAGTGGCTTTTGTTTATCTGGCTTTTCGTTATCTCGCTCTCGCGCTTTCCTTTTTGCGCCTGCTTCGCTATTTTGCGCGCTTATCTTCACTTTAATTATTTATACATTTCCCAATGCAAAAGGGTTTCGTCTGCATTGGAATTTCTTCTCTTTCTTCCTTTTTTCAGCACGCTTATCACCTTTTTCCACTTTGACGGGCTTTTTTTGTGATTATTTTTAGTGGGTAACCAGCGCAGTGGCGCCTAAAACATTGTTGGCACCTCGCGGGATTAAATGCTTGTATTTATGTTTGAAAAACACACGATTTCGATTCTCTTCGATTCGATACGATGCGAATGCGATACACACGCCGCCGACACACAAAAAACACAACAACAAAACAATAGGGTGACCGTATCGGGACTATGGAGGAAATAACACGTTGCGCCCAAAATATACTAAAATAAACCATGATGAAATACTAAATGTATAAAAAAAGCAGCAAAAAAATTAATTTAATTTTCTTACTTTTCAACCGGATTTTATTCTTGTATTTCACCCACAAATATTGAATAATATTGATATTAATATTGAACAATAATAATAATAAATCTACCATTGTAAGCGTGCCCAATCAAATTTTGACATTTATTTGATTAACTATTTCTTATTAAAAAATTTCAATCGTTTTGTCAAATCCATAGCCTTAATATAAAAAAGCATTACAAAATGTAAGTAATCATCTAATATTTCTGTGTGAATCCCCTCAATAGAACGACATATCGCACTTCGCAAGCAGTGTTCCACAACGCCGCAAGTATCGCTGTAAACTCGTGCACGCCGAAAACAGTGGAGTTTTTCTTGATTATCATTTTCCGGCAAACACTTGGAAATATCCTACAAAAAAGCCACCCAGAATGACCGAGGAGAGCAAGAACCCGCAGCTGGACGACCTGCAGCGACAGTTACTGGATCGCCTGGCCAAAAATGACACCAGTGGATTCAAGCAGCTGCTGGTCGGCGTGAATAACGTGAATTTCGTGGACGACAGTGGGATGTCGTGTTTGGCGCATGCCAGCTTCAAGGGAAATCGCGAGGCGGTTCAGGTGCTCCTGGATATGGTGGGTATACCTGGTACTTGGACCTATTAATGGGTTAACTATCACTGGGGCCACAGGTTATTCTGTTTAGGTCTTAAGTTGCTAACGAATGGTTTACTGAGTTTAATCTATGTAAGCCAAGTCTTGAGTTCCAGAAGTCATTATTGTAATGGTTCTATTGAGGGGTGTCACAGAAATCTCTTCCAACCAAAGACGGTTGGATTTTGCATTGATGCACGTAAGAACTTTAACGGATTTCGGTTGGAAATAATTTCTGTGACACCCCCGATTATAATGGTTTTCCAACCCCAACTATCTGAGCTAAAATAATACTTCATATATTGAATCTTGTGTCCATATTTATACTTATGTTTTATAAGTTTGTTTAATGACCATAATCTAAATTTATAATATAGAAATAACAAAAAAACAAAAGTACATTTTCAAGATTTTTTTCAAAAATATTTCCTAAAATTATTACAAAACCCCTAATAACACCTAATCCCCCCTTCAGGGAGCCGACATCAACCTCAATCAACATGGAGCTGACTATACACCACTGCATTTCGCTGCTCTATCTGGTAATACACACGTGTGCCGGCAACTTTTGGACGCGGGAATCAAACCGGGTAGCATCAATAGTGTCAATAGGACAGCTGCTCAAATGGCCGCCTTTGTGGGCAACCACGCCTGTGTGGAGACCATTAACAACTACGTAACCCGATCGAGTCTGGAGTACTACACCCAAGTGCATGGCCAGCAAACGGAGCCGCAGATACCACCCAGTTTACTCAAGTCCTTCCATGCCTTTGTCACCGAAATCAACCTGCATCCCGTGAGGATTGCCCTGAATGTCCAGTCGCTGGGGCTTCTGAGGATCCTCTCCAACCTCCGGAAAACCCTTTCTCTAATGTGCGAAAAGGAAATGCAAAAGTCACACGACCTCAACGAGCTGCTGGCCTTCAAGTTCCATTATCAGGGTTGGATTTTGGCCGAGCTGATACGCTGCGAGGAGCAATTCAAGGCCCAGCACAAGGAGAAAAGCGGCGAGGAGGCCGGCGATGCCAACAAGAATGACTTCATCGAGATGTTCGTGAAGCGGGTGCTCAAGGAGAACAAGCTGGGCCAACTGGACTATGTGGAATATACGCTAAGGGAGTGTGCCAGGGAGTTTCCCGTCAGGGAGTGCACCATTTTCCGGCAAATTGCCACTCAGTTTGGCGCCAAGGATGCACCACCTGCGCTGACGATCCTGCGAAATGCCATTAATGGAATGAGGGGATTTGTGGTGGGTTTAAAAAGTTCTTAAATTGATTGTTCTCTATTATAATAATGTTTTTTTTATATCCTTCAGGACGAGGGCAGCTACTGCAGCACCTGCGGCGCCGAGAAGCCGGACAAGAAGTGCTCCAAATGCAAGGCGGTCCAGTATTGCGATCGGGAGTGCCAGCGACTCCATTGGTTTATGCACAAGAAGAACTGCGCCCGTCTTTTGGCCCAGTCGCAAAACCAATCGCAATCCCAGTCGAAGGGACAGATCGACACCGCCGAACTTCGGGAGGAATTGGCCAAAATGACTGCGTAATCCTGTGCTCCTTTGTAACGCTAATAAATGTAACATAAAACAAGGAACTAAGCATTTTCATGTACTAAATTATTGTTAGTACGCTTTTTGTCAGTTGACTACACAAACTAAGCCACACAATTAGATAATAACAATTGTATTGTCAACCGCAATTACAAATACAATTTTGTTTATTTTCAGTCAAAATCTGCAATCAAAACTGCCCATCAATTTTATACCTATCAAACAAAAAATAAATGATAATATTGAAAAAATGGTAGCTTTTGTTTATTATTAATTTTTTATAAAAGAAAACAATGCCCTTTTTTGAAATAGTGGGAAATACCTTTACGAAATGTTCCTTTACTTGGATTTTATCATTATTGTTGTTTATTTACATCATTATATTAAAACCATTTAATTTATCACACTGTTACATACTTAACCCAAATGATTTTAGATTCAAATTATTGAGGAATATTTTTAAAAACATTAATTTCGAATATATTAGCGATATTCGTATTTCCGAATGTTAAGTTAACAGCGTTAGTGGCATTCATCTGCGATTCTGTTAAGAGTTCGAAAAACAGCTGATAGCCGTTTATTATTTTTCTTGTCAAGCTATTTGTTGCTAGTTGCTCGCGAACAACTATTAAATCCAGTCCAAAATGGTGCAGGTTTGGTATATGGATACGGAGGAAACCGATCAGCGCTTGGAGCACCATCGCAATCCACCAGTTTACTTGGAACTGGACGATCTTTACAAGAGGACAGGCGTGGAATATTTCAAAGCAAGTGAAACTACGACTTTAAACCTTTATTGACCTTGGGTGCGAGCTTATCTTGATCATTCACTTTTGCAGATCAATGCGGACGACTACCAGAGCGATAGTACTCTCACTGAACTGAGGGCAAAACGTGGCTATACCTATGATGATGAGGCAAGAACGATGTTCCTAGTAGAAACAATAGAACCTATATAAAACCTCGATTATTTACAGATTACTTGCTCGGAAAAGTGTCTCCCTGACTATGCCAACAAGCTAAAAGCCTTTTTACACTGAACACTTGCATACTGATGAGGAAATACGTCTGATTTTGGATGGATCTGGTTACTTCGATGTTCGCGAGTGAGTATTGTACCGTCTTTAATTTTATTATTTACATTTCATTAAAATGTATAAATTAATTTTATAAATTTTAAGCAACGAGGACAACTGGCTGCGCATTCTGGTGGTGAAGGGAGATCTGATTATTATACCCGCTGGCATTTATCATCGCTTTACTTTGGATTCCAACGTAAATTATCAGTAATTTCCTACATCCAAAAGTTGTTTTTAAATATTTTATTTTTTATCTTATTAGAATTTTATCAGAACTCGTCGCTATTTTGTTGGGGAACCCGTCTGGGCTCCTCACAATCGACCTGCCGATGATATGGATTGTCGCAAATCTTACATCAAACATCAGGCCGAAAACTTTGTGCAATTCAACAAGGTTTGAAATAAACAACCTGCAATAACTGTCAACTGTATTTTACTCAGAGTTTGATATTTGTAAAGAAAATAAAGCGCCAATATATCACATAGGCAGCTGTTTGGAGTTTGGAGTTTAATTTGTTCTGGGATACAACAGAAAGCTTTAGCGTTTCTAATTTGTAATCAAGTTTTACAGAAATCTCTCCGAATAAAAATAAAAAAATCGTCTTTTTTGGGATTAAAAAAAAAGTATCAAATTGCTAATTTTACCTTGCATAACATAAGTACATACTTTTGATTCTGTATTTTAATATTCCTAATTTACCTAACGGACTTTCGAAATGCCTTTTCGAGTTCGAAATTGAAACTGTTGATGAGACCGCCAATGCGGCGTCGCAAAATCCCAAACGCAAAAGGTCACCGCGATAGTATCGAACGAAATATCGAATCGCGTACCAGCTCTACGGAGGAAAACAAAACAAACACTTTTTTACTTTTTCATCTCTCGGATCGTTCGGACGTGCTACGCGGTCTCGTCTGTGTGAGTGAGTGAGTGTGCGTGAGCGGAGCGGCAAAAAGCACAATTAAAATCGAATCGAGTAGCAGCAGTTATCTGTGGATTCGGGGGATACAAAATAATACAATATCGTTATCTATTTACAAACAAATCGGAGTGGATAATATAATGCCGCACACGAGTGCATAAAGCGGCGTTCCTGTGTGTATGTGTGTCACTCTCGTTCATTGAAATAGTAAACAAATTGCGAATATAGTTTACAGCCAGGCGAAGACAACTACAAATATTGAAAATATATAAAACAAAATATATATTATCTGCAGTGCGTGTAAAATATTTCGGAAAAGTCGCCGCAAAAGCAGCGGCGTCGACGTCAGCGGAGCGCGGGCTGCAAGTGTGTTGGTGAGGCGTATATACATACATACATACCAACAAATAAGTGCATATAAGGTGTACATAAGCAGTGTGTTTAATTAAGTGAAATCCATATTGTGTGCATGCGAAATTGGGAAAATCAAGAGGAGTTCCGCAGCAGCAGCAGTGCAGCGGCAGAGGCAGAGGCGCCACCGACTAACGGATTTTCACACGCGGGTAAGTTTTCTTTGCTTTTCTTTCTCGTTTTCTTGCCCCAAAACAGTGCTAAAATTTTCATTACGCCAAAGAAGAAAAATTCAATATGTATATGTATGCTCCATCTCCAATCGCTCTCTCCCGCTCCCTCTCCTCTCCCGTTCGGTCGCTCGCTGGCTGGCTGGCTCTCTCTCTCTGCCACTATCCAATTTAACCTCAACCGGTCTGCTGCTGCGGCGTCTCGTATGCATGTCGCCCATCTGTGCGAGTGTGTGTTCGGACAATCGAGGTCAATGCAATAGTGGCAATTAAGAAAGTCATCCACTCATTAATTCCTTTTTTAGATTGATGGGCTATCGTAGGGACAATAAAATTCATTAACTATGGGCTTGAAACGTGTATCTTAATGGGTATAATCACTACTACTATGCACTATTAATTATTAATAGTCTTTAATTTGCGTATTTAGTATCTTTTGTGACTTTAATCGCTACACACTGTAACGTCTTTCAATCAAATTAAAAACTACCAACGATTTTTTTTTGCAAGTGCTTTCTTAGCTCAATTCGCAAAATGACCCCTCAACTTCTTGCTGCTATTGCTCCACCCTCGACTGTGTGCATCTGCATAAGTGTCTGTGTGTTTGTGTGCGCTTGTCATTCGGCTCGTTAAAAATGCTCTGCCGACGTCGCAGTTGGCGTTGGCGGCTTCTTCTTTAACTCTCGCGCATTATTTCGCAAAGCTCAAAAGCCTGCTTCTTCTTCTTGTTCTACTTGTTTTTGTTGTTGCTGCTGCCTTTCTTTCTTCTATATTGACAATTTTTACAGCCTTTATTTGTTGTTGTTGTGACGCCATGCTTAGGCGCTTGTTTCAGCTGCTACTTTTTTTTCGCCTTTGCCCGCTCGACTGGGTTGCCACGGGTTTTCTTTTTATTTTCGGAAGGGGTTGTCGCCGCTGCTCGCTTTTTTCCGTTCCGTTATCTATACACACATTTCTCGATTATGAATGAGTTGTTGGCGGGGTTCTCTACTTTAACTGTGTTAATGAACTTTTCGAGTTCCCTTTTGTTTTTGCCTTATTTAATTTTGCTAATTACCCGCACGCACTTTTTGCGCTTTGCAACACTTGTTAATTTCTCGAAAATTACCCCCCAGCACACACGCATTGCACTTGTTTCGGGAACTCTCTCTCCCAATCGGTTGTTCTCTCTTGTTTTTTGGTGGCCCTCCCCCCTCTTTTTCTCAACCCCCCCGCATACGCATTTTTCGGCAAAGTTGCATGCCCCAAAATACAAACATGCAGACACACAAAAAACCACCTTGCAGGCTCTCTCGCTCCCACACACACAGTCACGCACGCACTAAAACCCGGTTCGTCGTTAGTTTTAAACTTATTTTGGCATTCTTTATGTGCACTGCATTCTCGACGTCTCGTCGAGTCTCCCCATCCTCATCCTCCGCCTCCTCCTCTTTGCACTTCTCTTCGTCTCGCCTCTCCTCTCTTTTTGGTCTCGATTTTACGACCGAGACCCGCATTTCTTGCTCTTGTTGTTGTCGTAATGTAGTTGATGTTTCTGTAATTGAAATTGTTGTTGTTGTTGGAGGTGCAAAGGGGGCACCTAATATTTGAACTAGTTCACGGTGGATCAGGTCAATCCAAAATTATTAGAAGTATTTTTATAATGTCTATAAGACTATCCCAAGTCCGAATTTCCAGATTATTTCCTCATTTTAAAGTTATAGTAAAGTTCTCTGAAAATTATTGGTTGGTTGTAACAAAATTGAACCAGTCTAAAAATTTTTTTAAAAATAATTTTTTTTTTTTTTATTGAAAGTATTGCTTATAAGAAATTCGTATTAAGTGAATCTATATTATTATTAAATTGTTTTTCAAAATAATCATAGGAACAATTAATGTATGAAAAATAAATTCAATGAAATCTAATTCAATTGGGATAATTATTTTATTGTTCCAATTCTATAAACTGTTCAAGGTTCAAAGAAAACAAATTCCCTTTAATCAATTGGATTTTAATGTGTCAAGTTTTTACTTCTATGTAAATCTTTAACAATTTAAGGTAATTGCCATAAAAAGTTAAATATAAAGAATACAATTTCCGACGGCTTGGAACTAGAATGCCCGGTTCTAGATTTATCGCTGTAGCTTTAGCGTTTACCTTTTTGTTTGTTGCCGTGTCAGCTCAACACAGGTACCACTCGCCCGCACACAGACGTCGATTTACCTGCGTTTGCAGGTGAATTTGAGAGTGTGTGTGTGAGTTTGGGGGAGCAGCTCGATAGCCGAAATTCTCCTTTCGTCTTTTCGTGCGTTTTTGTTTGTGCAAGTGGAGCAACAAAAGTCGACAGCTCTTGCAGCACTGCTCTCTTCCTCCTTTCTCCATTATATGATTTTCACCTCACCTCCCTTGGACTTGGTATCGATAGCACAAGATTTTCCTCTAATTTGGATTAAAGGGGGTCAAAAGTTCACGAACAACTCAAGTGGTTTAAAGAGCATAAACAAATAAGGCGCTGTTTTTATAGATCATATTTCAAAGGGTCTTTATAAAAAACTTACCCAAAATATTCTCTTTATGAAGAGATCAAAAGAACATTATTATCAGTAAAATAATTTTCCTGACCTGCTGATTATTTAAGTGTTATTTTTAACTTCCGTAACTATTACGTAGAGTTCGGAAATGGGATTTATCGTACTATCGCATTTGAAAACCAACTTTCGCTTAATGCCCGCACTATTTGGCAGCCCTTTCAAAGTTTTCTCTATCCAATACAGAAAGCTGCTGCAGAGGTAACGATTTATAGATGACAACTGGGATTGGTGGGTGGCATGTTTCGGGTGTAATGTCTGTTTTTTGGTCGAATCTGCTGCATGCAATGCATCTGGGGCTGTTTTCTGGCGATTCCATCTGCATTCCATGGAACCGAAACATATTGCAGTTGTTTTCTATTTCGTTTGCTGCACACAAGTAAACCCCCTTTTTCTACACCCATGCAATACTCTATGTACAGCTTACAACAACAAAGCATCGCAAGCCGAAATGCAGTTTAAAGCGCAACTAAAACTAAACAGAGCTTTCCACTCCAAGTGGGTGTCTCTAAAAGTGGGTGGTTGGGGAGTGTGGGGAGGAAGGGGGTTTTCGGTGCTATATAGGTATATCTGAACTGTATGTGCGAGTGTTTGTTTTGGTTTTCCATGTATGGAGTGTGGAGTGTAGTGGATTTTATATCAAAAGTACAGTCGCTTATTGCTGCTGTTGTTGTTGTATTGCTGTATTTCATAGTTCGTAGGTATATATGCACATATAGGTACATAAATTGCATGTTCATGCTTCAATAGTTGCATGCAGCGTCCGCAGCATTGTTGTTTTTGGATGGCCCGGGGGGTTGGGAGGTGGATGGAAAGGGAAGGGGGCTTTCTGTAGTACCTAAACCTAAGCCGATGCACCAAACTAAACTCTCTGTTGACAAGTAAAACAAAAGCCCAGCTGCAACAGCAACAACCATCGAGAACAATGAATCAAAGTCTGCAAGCGATTCAAGAGCGATTGTGATGGCGATTACGATAACACCAAACAGCCAGGGAAGATTTTGCCATTTCTCGATAGGAAGGCAGAAATATATTTTTGTGCTTACAGTTTTCCTTTTATGTAAACTTATTAAAGTTTTTTTAAATTTGGAAAGAAAAGCGATGTCTTTGCCAAGAAGTGAGGAAAATTAAGAAGATTATTATATTTCTTATATTCACTTTTACTTTTACTTTTTCAAGAAAATAAACAATGAATTCAGGAATTTGTTCATATTTTTTTTGCAGTAAGTCTAAGAATTTTATTAATATCGCAAATGGAGTCCAAAAAGGTCAGATGTTCAGCCAAAGGAATTCGTTTATTGTTTGGATTTTTGAAACTTTTCACCTTAACCCAACATACCCACACCAATTTTCCAACCTACCTCCCACCCTCACATTTATTTTCTGGGAGTTTTCCTGTCTCTTC